TTCAAAGACCATTCTAAAGCTGACATAAGACATGCTCACAACAGGAAGAAAACTTCTTGTAGAGCCCTGTAATATTCTAGTCCCACCCAACATTTACAGCTCTTGCTAGATTCCCATTGCTTTGGTTGGTCAGTACTGGCACTAAGAGGAAAAAAACCAGAAAAAGCAAGCAACCCCTGCCAGAGAAGGATCAGCAACCAAAACCAAGGTAAAACACAATTATAAAGTGTTTGAGAATTGCCAGAAATGTACATGAAACAATCAAGATAACTGAAGAAAAGACTAAAGCACCTTATGACTCAGCTGAGTGAAAGCTCTTCCACAAAGTCTCTTTCCATCAACTAAAAAATAAACTTGCAAAAAGATCTGCAATAATGAGGTGAACATTAGTTTACAGAAGTTTGGAAGAAATCTGTCAATCCATAAATACCAGCAATAGACTAAATAACTATTTATTATTACAATGCACCAAGAAATAAGTCTTTTAAGTGCCTGAAGAAATCTTCCGCTGAAATAATTCCTCAAGTGAATACTTAAATGGGAAGAGTGTAATTCTACTTGTATGTTTCTTTCTGGGTTAAAGTAGTGCACAACAGTATCTGAAGTGCAATCTATATAGAACACAAAAAGGTGTACGTTTTTCCTTAAAGATTATTTCATTGACGATTTAAAATACAAATTACTTGAAAGTAATTAAAATTAGAATAAAACAAGAATAACACATTCACTTCAGAGACTCATAAATAAAAGGAAGTCTCCTCTTGCAAAAAATAGGAGCATTAAAAAAACCCCAAACAACAGTTTTAAGAGATACTGATACAACCTCTTCCATATTCTTCCTACTGGGGGAAAAATGGTACATTGCAACACTAATAAAAAAAATAAGCTCTCTAAGATTGTGTGTAACTTTTTACCTTCTTGGTAGAAGTCTACCTCCAGGTGCAATTCACATGCTTTTAGCAGCAAGATCAACACCAGTCCCAGTGTCTTGAAGCTGTATTAGGTACACCGATTCATTCAGCTACACATCTTCCATCAGTTAACGCAGAAGGCACAATGGAAACATAGCTAAGAGAAACACAAGACAAAAATCTGAAATCAACTTCTTTATGAATAGGCCAGTGTTAAAATTAATACTTTTATTAATCATTCAAAGAGCTTTCCCTGACCTTCAGAAAGAATTGGACTGACTCACATCTCAGCTACAAACCAGAAATCACACTAGGAGTAGGACCCAAACACTTACTTAATTCAGGTATTAAAATTATTCTGCTAGGCCAGTATATGATGTTTAGATACAATTCAGAAAAGAAATCACAAAGCTAATACGGATGTCTGACCATGGGCCAGAGTAAACTGACCCCATAATGGAGACCACCAGCTTGGCTAAAGGCCATCTGAGGACAGTGGTCCAGAGCACTATAGTTGTACTTCAGAGCTCAAAGATCTTTCTTAGTGCTTCCAAACTAGGATTCAGAAGTCCTATGAAAAGATTTACACATCCTATACTGTCATCCGGATGGTGTGTGTGTTGGATCATTGTAAGGAATACTTTAGTAAGACTAAGCACGGATCAAACACGCCCAGTAAACAGGGGAGAAAACCCTACTTACTGTACTAGTTAGGAAGAATCACCTACTCATCAAACAAATTTAATCGGAAGTTTTTCTCATAGTAGCTCCTCTATTTCTCATAGGCGAATAGTAGCTAAATGCTGTTAATTAAGAATATGGGAGGGGGGGGGAATATTTTCCACCACAAAAGACTTTATCTAACTGCCAAAAGAATTCAAGGGCTTGTGTTCTTTCACAGGTTGATCATATTTACATAAACCAAGTTTTCCTAATACATTTATTAATGTTTACTGGGAATCGCATAGCTAAGGGAGTTTTGATGATTCACTTACTAATGGAGAGACTAGAATTTGTACACACTACTAAGGTAAACAAATACATCTGTCAGGCATCTTCTTTCCTCCTGAGCCTCAGCTAGTACAATTAATCAAAATCTGACAATTGCTCTGCATAAGGAATGCGTCATTTGTCTGACAGATTTAAGTTGAAGGGGAAAGAAGAAAAACACACATAAACATTTCAACTCCTTCTTTTAAAAATTATGATCATATGTCCACAAAATCAAAAATAGCTGACAAGATAAACAAAACAGCTTGAATTCAGCATTTTATAAATGCTGAATTTTATAAAATGCAGTTGAAACTGGCATACTTCAAGAAATATGCACACAGAAGAGTTATACATATGTAAGCCTTTTACTGAACTTGTTTTTAAGATTAGCATTATTATCATTGTGCAAAAGCAAAACTTTCATTTTCTGGACAAACAGGCTGCGTTCACATGCAATTAAAAATAAAAAAGTGCTTTCTCAGCTTTCTGAAAGCTTGAAGTACAAGCACTTAAATGTTTACAGTTAAATAAGTACCAGATTCTGTAAACTGTTAAGTAATGTTACACAGCCATCATTTCTAAGCATTCAAGTGAATTCTGTTAGCTGGGCAATTCAGAATTTTACTTCAGTCTAACTTGGATATTAAACTAGAAACTTTTTCAACGAATTTAATAAGAAACATTTAATTAGACAGTGAAATATGGTTCTTTGACTAACAAAAAGATTAGTTATTAAAAAAACACTGAGGGGGAAAATTAATTTTCAAAATGAATTTAGTTTTGTCTCCAGAATTAAACCCTGCAAGATGTGTTTCCCCAAACTGTGCTTAATAAAAGAATGCTATCCTTGATGACAGTTGAGATAAAGCTCTAATCAGTACTAATGCCAACTACAGTATTTTAACAGAAACAAGATTTGTTGTGTTCCTCATGGAGAAACACAGGCACATATCCAATAAGCAAACACAAGGGCATGAAGGCTTCAAATTTTGATCTCTCTGCTCAGCACTAACAGCATCCTACTACTGTCCCTTTGGTATAACCCCATAATTCCATTCCACTACTACCCCTCCGGCAAAGCCCCATTTCTTTCTGTCAAGAGGCAGTACTGGAGCAGAACGAGAAAGGCAGAAGAACGCGCCATCACCCCTTCAGCTCACTTACATGCACGCTGCCTTTCACACCGTTTGTTACCAAATCTTCCCTAGCTTTCGAACGTGCGCCTGCAGCAGCTGCTGTGTGTGTACAGCAAACGGCTAGGTGGAAAACACCCAGCTTTGCAGAAGGACCTGTGCAAGCAAAACACTGGGCAGGACGCGGGTTGGTCCCACTGCTTGTCCCCCACCGCCTTCACAGCCGAGATACTCTATCCCTGCAAACTCCTCCACCCCTCCAGCCCACCGGATCCGGGGTGGGCAACAGAGCACAGAGAGCTCAACTAGAAACTCTTCGGGGGGAGGTGCGAACGCTGCCGCCGGGGCGCTGGAGGCCCGGGAGCTGCTCAAGCTCCTCTCCCTGTGCCAGGTCTCCCCGTGCCCATCAAGTTCCAGTGCCGGAGTTCCCAGGGCCCCGGCGCGATGCCGCTGCCGGGGGCGGGAGCGCGGCGGCGGCCGAGGGGCCCCGCGGCCCACCCAGGCAGGGGAGGGCGGCAGCTCCTCCCCGCACACCGCGTCCGCCGCGCCGGGGCCGAGCGGGACCCACCCGGGGCTCCCCGAGCCCTGGGGGCCGGCCGTGCCCCCTCCTCCGCCACGGGCCGTTCGCTCCGCCCGGGGGGAGACAATGGGCACGATGACTTCACCCTCCAGCAATGCGAGCAGCAGCGGGGGACGCCGCCGACTTCCCCCCGGCCCCCAGGTCGCTCTCGGGCCCTCTCCCCCCCGGCTCGGGCTCCCGCCCAGAGGCGGCTCCGGCTCGGAGGTTCCGCTCCACCCCTCACCCGCCGCCACGCTCAGGGCGGCGGCCGCCGGCGGAGGCCCGAGCCGGGGAACGCCGCCACCGCCGGGCCCCTCGGCGCCCCCGGCCCCGCCGCGGACCCACCCCCGGTACCTGTGAGTCGGCGGGAGGAAGCGGCGCTGCTCCGCCCGCCCGAGCCCGGTGCCGCGCAGGAAGCGCCTCCGTGCGTGTGCGTGTGTCTGTGTGTGTGTGTCTGTGTGTGTGTGTATGCGCGAGCGAGGAACGGAGGGGGCGGCACCGCCCGGCCGGGCCGGGGCGGGGCGACGCGGGGCCGGGGCCGGGGCCGGGGCCGGGGCTGGGACTGCCCGGGAGGGAGGCGGCGCCCGGGCCGTCGGTTTCCGCGACGCGCTGAGCTCAGCGCGCACGGCGGTGCCGCCCCTCGCCCGCCCCCGGCAGGGCGGCCCCGGCGGGCGGGAGGGCTGCGGACCCCGCGGTGGGGCCGGGGCCGCCTCCCCCGTTCCCGCTCGCTGCCGCCCCCGGCGCGGTGCGGGGGATGCTCGGAGCCCGCGTGGTGGGTGCGCTGTCTCTGCCCCCGTGCCAGGGGACGCCGCAGCGCTGCCAGCTGCAGTACAGCACAAGGTACAACGTTGTATCCATGTACAGGTCCGTGGGCTTCACACCCATGGAAATGGAAAAGTGCGAGGCGAAGAATGAATTATCGGGGCGTTTCAATAGGTGCTGTTGAGCGCTGATTCACTTGCCAAAATGACAAAACCCTGTGTCCGTGCTGTAAGATACAGATTTGCCTTTTTTTCGCCCCCTCTTGCCATTTGAAACATGAGGATGCCGCCTCAGAATTTGCCCACAAGCCCCCAGCTTTTCCTTCGTGGCATGGCCCTGTTCTGCATTTAGCTGCGGTCAGCCCCGGGCTCCTTGGCCAGCAGCCCCAGCCCTGGGCTGCCTCCGGCTGCCCTGTATCGCTCCCCCGTCCCGGAGTCCGGGTGCTCCGTCTTCTTTTACTACAGACCTTCCTGCGGTCGTCCGCGGGATTCTCTCCCTCTGCAGCCCTATCGTAGCTCTCCCACAGCCGGCTTGCTTCTCCTGACCTCCACTTCTGGCTCAATTCCGAATCTCCTCTGGCATGTTTCAGAATTCTCTGCCTACATTATTATTACATTGGATTTAAATAGTGTGCGCTTTTTTTTTTTTTTTTTTTTCCCTAGTTAATCATTCACACTGTCGTCCCAGAATTCTGTGGAACTGGAGCTGATCCTGTGCTAGTGGTTCTTCCATTAGGCTGGTATGAAACCTGAAAACTTACTCTGGAAAAAGTTATTAATCACCCAACCTGCATTTAACATGTGCAAAGATAGTAAAATGAATAAAATGTACCATGCTTTTCTTGTGGGATTTGCAATGCACGATCGGTTAAAGGCTTGCACATATACTTTCCTTTATTTATGTGCATAGTTCTGTTTAAGTCAATAGGACTACTTCCAGTACATCAAACTAAAAGTAAATACAAGTGATTCCATGTTGAGATACTTAATCTGAAATGACAGAATAGGCAGTTAGAACAAACAGGGAGGGGAAGTGGAAAATAAGGGTAACACCAATGAGATTATACTGGAATTTTGGCATGTTGTGTACAAACCACAGTAGTTCCCTGTTGGCTTATAAAAGCCAGTGGCTAGGTGAGTTGTTCAGGCTCCAATACTGCAAACATGTACATATCACTTAGGGTGTGTAAGTGGTGCCATTGTGTTCAACTGGATAAGATATGCAGAAGTTTATTACATACAACAACTTGCAGAGTAAAATCTTGGACGTTTTGTTATATATGGGATTTGACACAGAAAAAGGGAATTAGAGAAAGGGAATTAGCTCATAAAATTAGAAAAAGACAAGCATGGAGGTGTGTGAGGGGAAGAAAATGAAGAGAGAAACAAAAAGATTAGCATATAGAATAGCATGGATACGTTAGTGAACAAATTTTGGAATAGCAACAGCAAACCATTCTACCACCTCAAATGTGCAGCTACCAATAAAACAAAAGCAGCCAGCAAAGCAGTTCAGTACTGTTTTACTTTCTAAATGTCCAGAGGGATTCAGCAAATCAGTACAAATGTTCTGAAATACCTTGGCTAATGCTGGAGAATAGGAGGGAAACACAATCCCGTTGTTTTAAAATTCTGCACTGGGGTATTGAGCAGTCACTGTGGTGGTGAGATAGTTTCTCCTTGAAGCTGATGAGGGACAAAGCAAACCTCCAGCCAGCCACCCTGCTGAGAGCTTGGCAGTAGAGAGCCTGCAGCCAAGTAGGTGCTTTTCATCAGAAGTATTCAAAGTAGTCAATTAACAAAATACACTAAGCATAGGAAAGAAGGAAACTCATTTCTGCACGAGCTGTACACCAAAACTAGCAGTTGTTTATTTTGGTATGTAAGGAAGATATATTTGTTTGCTTGCTTGCTAGTTTATTATTATGGAACAGGATGACCAAGAGGTATTAAGGAAAAGTAGGGGCTGCTCAAACTCTTGAGCAAATACCTTATGTACACTGCATTTGGTGAGGCATAAAAGGTTTAAGAATGCTAACTAGCCTGTATTTCCAAAACATTTTCTGAAGAACATCTAGGATTTAACCTTTGTGGGTATTTAATTCAGTTGCTGGCAGAAAAGTACAAAGTATTATATCACAATACAAAAATACTACCCTCTGAGCAAAGCATCTGGTGTGTTCTAAGGAGGCATAAGCACACACAACATGCTGTCAAATATGGAAGGGTAAAAATTGTATCAAAATGAAGAGAGGTGAGCAGAGAGGGCTGAGGAAGGAAAGTGCTTTTCTTCTTGGTGATAAGGAATGGAGGAAAGGTATGAGATAGACAACCTCATCTCAATTTTGTATATCCTTCCCATAATTTTGGCTTATCTGGACTGCTGGCCTCAGTATAACTTCAATATTTACGTATGAAATACTGTTGTCTCATATGGTAGTGTAAAATCAGCACCTTGGGCCAGAATTTCATGTGTTGGTGGTCTTTTCTTTAAAGTCATATTGGAAGAGTATCAAATATGATGGGTAAATGTTTCCATGCCTCTGATCCCACAACTGAGTCTCCCTTTGAAATCTTTTATTTGAATATTCAACCATCATATTCAACATAAAATTGGCAAAGTCAAACTCTATTTTTTTATTAGGTAATTTCGTGTTTCCTGCAGGCTCTGTCATCATTTGGTCTCCAGCCCGTCATTTTTAGGGAAAAACCTGTCCTCAGCCCTTTCCCTTTTGACACACACATTTGTGTCCTTGATCTTTCTTTCATTTTGTTCTGAAGAACACCCTTTGTTGTAAGATTCACCACTCTCCTATGTTTTCCAGCTCAGCTGTCTTGCCAATTTATTTTTTTTCCTGGAGACTTTATTTTTAGCACCCCTGATTTTACTGATCTGTCTTACAGTGTTGCCCCACAGATGGCTGCATTTGCACAAAAAGCATTGCAGAAGATTGATGTGGCAGCAGGAACAAGTGGCATAGGGAAGGAAGAGAACTGTCCAGATCAATTTTGCCTCTGGAAAAAATGTAGTATGGAAATGCATTCTGACTTACAACCAGAGAGAGGATAAAAGCCTTTGATTAATTAAAATATCTGCAATACACATGGATAGCAAAACAGAAATCAGGCATGCAAAAATAGAAAATATTAATAAATGCCACACTATAACTGAGAAATATTATATATAAATACAGCTAAGAGACAGAATTCACAGAACAGGAATAAGTGTTGAATACCATCAGATTTCTGTTTGCCCATTGTGAAAGATGATTTGCCATGCACTGATTGTCATAAATTTTACTGAGTGCAGTAGATTTTTTTAAAAAATCCTGTGTACCATGAGGGCAAGGCTAGGATAATGGATTAGCGACAAATAGAGCTATCTAATATGCAATCTCACTGATCCAAGTTACAAAGTGGCAAGATACCAGTAAATAATGTACAAGCTGAGAACTTTCCAAATTTTTTGGTATGTCATAAAACATTAAAGATAAAGGCTTCCATAGCCATTTCAAACATCTCAGATATCTTAGAATTACGTCATCTGAGCTAATCAGTTTCTGTAGTAGTCAATAAAAAAAAAAAAGTAAAAGTAGAAAATTGGTAATATATAGAACTGCAGTCCCTAGAATATGCCTATTGCAAGAAAGAAAATCTGCTTAAATAAATAAAAATTATTTAGGTTTCTTTCCAGCCACTATAAACTCCAGAAGTCTGCAAAAGACTACTATATGAGCTTAAAATTTCTTAAATGCCTAAAACTCTACTTCTAGATGTAGTATTTAAGCTCTGAAGGTAAGGAGTTGCAGGATGCAAAAGTTATACCTGTGTATTTTCTTGGAGTTAGCCACTTTTAAAGGCCAGCTGTCTATTACTGTCAGTATCCTCAAAGAACTGCAATTTGTTAGAAAAATAAATGAAAGTCAAGTAAGAATTATACTGCAAGAAGCAGCAGACTGTAATTTCTGTTGCACAACACCGTTTCCATTCTAGTCTCCTGAGCTTTCCTCCTCGTCTAGTCAGAACAGCCTGAAATTTCTGTTTTTATGGGTTCAGAAGTAATGTGATTATTCTCTGCCCAAAGGTGAAATTGTTTCTGGAAAACTTGAGTAAGAATGTTTTTGCTGGTTTAAGTGTGAGAACAGTGGGGTGGGGGTGAAATGTTGCATAAAGGTAAAAGTGCTTTAGGGGTTTTTAAATAACTTTTTCATCATGATGAAGAGATGTGAAGCGATGAAAGTCATGGTGGAAATAACCCTGCTTAGGGAAGACTTATACTTCTTCTAAAATTGGTCTCAAATGGGTCCTTCAAGCAGCGTATACACTCCATCAGAGCCAGGGGGAATTTACACTTGACCTTCCCCGGGAGGAAGGGCAAGTATCTGCTCAGGTTTATCTGTCCTTTGAGTCACAAACAGCTCCTCTGTATTTTCATGGTGGCACACTGACTGTACCCGAAGTCCTGCCCCGTTACTGCCTAATTATTAATGGGGTGGCCCATCTGCAATGTATCTACAGATTCTCTCACAAATAGACTGGAACTGGGGAGGCTGGTGAGGGTGGGGCTCGATGGCCACGGGGTTCCTACTTCAGTGCACACTGTGGCCATGCTCTGCTGTTGGCAGTATGGGATTTCCAAATGTGTCGCAGCAGGCTTTTGTGGCCTTTGCTCTCTCTGCATGTCCCCATGTCACAGTTATGTCTCACAGGCATTTAAAAATATAAACCATCTATATGACAATGAGGGGCCTCTGAGAACTGTCTGTGGGATGTGCAGAAGCAGAGTGTTTCTCCTCAAGAGCACCTTCCAGTGTCGGCTGACCTGCCTCTAGTCCATGGCCAGGAGGTCAGTGACCTGAAGACAGCTTGTGTTTGCAGCCAGGGTACCAGCTGCTAGCCTGGACAGCAGAAGGAAGGGATTCTGGGCAGGCATGACAAGACACAACCCATAGGCTTGTGCTGTCACGTGTGGTCATGCCAGATGTTATATGTCCAGCATGAGCACACATTGAACAAGGACGGCGAGCAAGGTGTCCTTCTCAGCTGGATAGGGATTCCTCACAGAAGCAGAGCTCTGTCCAGGAGCATTGCTGTGTGCAGCTGGATTGATGGATGAAAAGGGCAAAGGTGCTGAGGAGTGGTTGCTTTTAGCCCCTGCTTAGGGAACACATTTTCTCGTGTTCTCACAATAGCTGTGAGAGCCAACAGTGAGTGGCAGTAGGACACAGGACCTCTGTGCAGAGAGCTTTTCAGAAGTGTGTCATCCCTCCTGGCCTCACCAGGGCCAATGAGCTGTGGGAGAGAGTCACTTGCTCTAGGTGGGGAGCTGCAAACACAGCTCTGCCAGATTGTCTGGCAGTTGCCACTTTGGGTAACACATTCTGCAGCCCCAGCCACTGCCAAGGGCAGAGGACACGAGCAGAGCTCTCTGATGCAGGCTGGTTCTCCTCAGCACTGGCAGGTGGGTCCTACAACCACGGTGCTCTCCTCTATGCACTGGGATGGGCATTTTGCCATGAGCATCATGACCGTGCCTTCCTTCCTGCCAACATCACTGGCAAGTTTGTTGTTTGCTGTGACTGCTCTCAGCATGACCCTCATAAGGCAGCAATTCTGGCCTTTACCTCTTGCCCAGAAATCTCCTTTGTTGTCTCTGTTTCCTCAGGCTAGCCAGAACCAGGTCTTCCAGAAGTGTGAAACTCTTGTTTCCTTGCATGAAGCTGACTCCAGACACAAGTTAATAACAACTTCCTCTGGTCAGGAGCACCCAATTCCAATGCTCTCTCCAGCAGTTTCCAAGGCTTCCAGACTCTTTTGCATCACACAGAGAGGACAGTGACTGCAGTGCTGTGAGTTTACCCAGGAATGGTACATAATTAAATCTTTGACAGAGAGCTCTAAACACTGTTTTTGGATCATGGGGCAGCATACCAGGACATGCCTAGATTGACCATGATGCAATGTGATCAGAAGAGAACTTCTGGTCTCAAATGTCCTTTTCTCATGCAAGAGAAGCATCCAAAAGCATCCAAAATACCTGAAGCATCCAAAGAAGAGTCACACCACGTGCCCAAGAATATTGTCCAAGCACTTCTTGAATCCTGTCAGGCTTGGTGCTGTGACCACTTCCCTGGGGACCCTGCTTCAGTGCCCAACTACCCTCTGGGTGAAGATCCTTTTTATAATATCCAACCTAAACCTCCCGTGACACAACTTCAGGCCATTCCCTTGGGTCTTGTCACTGGATCCACAGAGAAGAGATCAGTGTCTGCCCCTCCTCTTCCCCTCACAAAGAAGTTGAATCTGCAATGAGGTCTCCCCTCAGTGTCCTCTTCTCACAGAACAAGTGACTTCAGCTGCTCCTCATATGTTTTCCCCTCAAGGTCCTACATGGGAGTCTTTATGTGCATTTGCATTGATGTCGAAGTGAGGAAAATGCTGTAATATGTTTTCTTCTCCCTAATGCCCAACAAGGTCCCCAGGGGCTGGTACTCTATCCAGCTTCACCTCTGCTGTGCTACAAGTGGAGTGCTACAGCTTTTGGATGATGTGCCAGCTGTGCCTCTCCTCAAAAAGAAAACAGAATTTATTTAAAATATATGTAACATATGTTTGAGGCCATACTTGCTAATTTCTGGAACCAGAACTAGCCTTTTTATTTTTATTCTATAATTTGCTTATTGTCTCAAAGTAATCAAGCCAGGAATCAGAGGATTTGGCTTCTCTGAGGACTGCATCTGCCTCAAGTTCTACAGAAGGTGCTCGTGTTTTGGTGTTGCTTCCTTTTTTCCCTTTTTTTTTTTCCCTTGGCTTGTCTTCACAGGGTTTTTTCCCTTGATTCCTTTCTATTTTTGCATTAGATCAACTAAACACATGACACCTTATACTACACTCTCTGTGCCCCCTGCTCTCAATTCTGGCCAAGATATACGGACAGAGATTTCCTCTCTCCCAGGGGTAATGAGTCACAAAGTCTGCATGATTAGAAGGAAGGGTTAGGGTTTCACCTGCCTTTTGGGAGATAATTTTCTCCTTCAGATACCATTCCTAATCCTACACTTGCTGCAGATGCACTCTACTACAAAACCTGCAGAAATAAGTCCTCCCTAGGGACTACGGTACTATTCATCACTTTATGGAAGGTGTTTCTTCCCCACATTTATCCCTAAAGGGTTAGAATCGACATTTGGCACTGAAACTTGTTTAAATTCTTTTTTTTTTTTTTGTTTTGTTTCAAGTTTTGATGAAGTTTAACCACTGAGATAGTCCAGGTTTCTGCATGAAGCAACAAAAGGGCACAGATAGTGCTCAGTGGGCAGTCTCTCTGATGTTGCGGGGGGGTTTATAATGCAGACGGTGTAGATGCATTTGGGCCAGTTCTACTTGGATGCAGCTGGCTGTGCAAGCATGGAGCTTGGTGAAGAACAACAGTTCACCAGCCTTCTAGGCTATAAGTGCTCTGTGTTGTTGTAGCATTAGTGCTGACATTGAGTTGGTCAAGATCTTGTGTCCTAGTCTTTCCACTGCTGCTTGATTTTTTTTTCCTCTTCCTTCATTTCCCTAGGGAATACTGAGCTGATGAGATTTTGTACAAAATTACTCCCTGCAACAGTAAAAGGCAACACAGATCTCTGCTTATGTGGAAGTCTCTGTGGCATGCCCAGGCTGTGTGTTTGAGGCTTTAGGCATCCCAGTTCACCACTTACTTACCTGTCAGGTCTGAGACATGAAATATAGAAGCTGAAGGTACTGGTAACTGGAATTCATTGTTACACCCAGATATTTAGCTGACACATCCAAAAGGTTGAATAAGTTTATGATCAATAAGAAATCCATGTAAGTACAGAGCTGAAGAAGGCTACAAGCAAGTGATGCACTCTACTAACCACTGACCAGGGAAGACTATGCACCTCCACACGTGTATTCAGTCTTCATAGGAGAGTGGTTCCTCTGAAACCTCTGGTATTGCTTGTTACTGGAGACAGAGCTCAGTGGAGTAATTACTTCTATCATGACGACAGATACTCCAATGACATCAGTGGAAATCCTTTTCATGGTGCTGAATTACAGCTTGACAGCAGCAATCTCATGACACACTCTTTCTGATTCCACACCTGCGTCGTGACAACTGTATTGCTTGGTTACATGAAAACAATATCACTGCCTAAGGGGAAGACAAAATGACAATAAATTTATTTTTATGAGATCTTTGGATTCTTTGCCATCTCCTGTTTGCTTTCTGTATTTTTTTTCCTTTTTTCAGGTTCAACATTTATTGGGACAACCTTTTCACTGCTTGCAATTTTCCAATTGCTCTGATTTAATTTCTTTCCTATTTGCAATTTCTTTCTGTGTGCTGCTAGAATTTAGAAACTAGTGTCACTAGTTTCTAAATTCAGATTTTTCTAGGTTGCAATTGACAGAAATGAAACACCTCCCCATCCCAAAAGTGAGTTTCATGTAGTTATCAGAGGTTTGGAAGAATGCTGCTTATTTAAGTTTTCCTGACAAAAAAGGAAAAAAAATCTCACAAACTGGGTTCATATCATCTGTTACATGTGAAGACTAATTTTTTTAAGTTTTTTTACTTACATGGTAAGATAAACCTTGGAGCTTGACCACCTACAATTAGACATGATAGATGTACCATAGTGTTTTGAAGACTGGAGATCCTTAAACAGTTTATGTTCTGATACTGAAGACATAGATTAGTGTAAACATTATAGACAGATCATTTTTGTGTGACATACTGTAGCCTCATGTGAGCTAGTCTCTGAGGAAGCTGTATGAATCATATTCTGGCTTCATCTGCCTTTCTTCTTTCAGTGTAGAGAAAGCACAAATTATGATCTTAGGTTCCACCTTACCATTTGAATAGTTAAGGTTAGGTAAGACGAATTCTGTCCTCAAATTAGCGAAATAGCAGAAAAAATATCAAATGTTCTTTTTTTCCTTCCTCCATAGCATTACAAAAAATCTAGGTGGTGATTCTTGCAGAGTTATTTGATATAATAAATGCTCATACTTAAAAGTGAAGTGCTATGATTAATCAGTGATGATAGTTTACATAGTTTAATTTGCAAATAGACTCTTACCCCATTTCTCAGATCCTTAAACCAGCTTTTCCACAGCTGGAGGATTCTGTCAGCCGAATCACAACAGACAACAGGAGGGAAGCAGTGAGAGAACCTCTTTGCAAGGATTTTTTTTTTTCCCATGCAGCAATGTCAGCTAGCTGGTAGGTAGTTTTTATTCCTCTTTATTCCATATGAAACCTTGATTTAGTGCTTTAGCAGTACTAGAGATGTGTAAGGGTAAAGCCACAGGACTTGTACAGCCAGGTCCCTCAGCATTGAGAGTGCCCCATGTGGGCTTAAAGTATGTCAGGACTGAGGGAAGGATAGAATAAGTAGAATGAGAAAGTACAAGATCATAGGTTTTTGCACCTGTCTGTCTGAACTGTCATTTTCATGCTTTTCACAGAATCACCCCCAGTACTGATATATTAGGAAAAGTCTAGAGGGGAGAGAGTTAACACCCTCTCAATGCTGTGCCCATGATGGCCTGCTTTCTTTTTGTCTAACTGCTAAGCAAAATACAAGTTTCATAAATAGAAACACTGAATATAGACTGCAGGAGATTATTTTAACACTATATGAAGACATGATGCCAGTGAATCTGTAATTTGAATATATATTTTTGTTGCAAAATCTAGTGTTCTGCTTTACACATAGACACATAAGAGCAATGAGGCTGTCAGTTCTGGCCATCTTAATGGTGTTGCAGAATTCTGAAGAAGATGGCAAAACACTGCCTTCTGTTAAGAAATCAATTTAAGCACAACACTTAGAGAAAATAGATTGTTATCTATAGAAAAGGGAAGTTAAGGGCAACTGGAGCTTCACTAAAGTATGTTCTATGTTGGAGAAAATAGAGAAGTTCTATGCCACAAATGGAGTTGAGCATAATCAAGTTGAGCAATTAAACTTGTTGAGCTAGTTTAATTGCAAGAAAAAGAATCAAATATATCTAAATATTAAGTTTCCTGAAAGTGAAATGGATACTGGCAGCATATAAGGTACTTATATACCAATATCAAAGAATAGTTTGCATATAGAATTAAGTAGCAGGGCAACAAGAACACCATGTGTAAAGTTTTAAAAAGAATTAGGCAAATATTTGGGTGTCCAAACTGACTAGTGCTCATATTGCTACAGACAAGCACCTAGATGTATCTTTGGGCATTTTTCTTTTTGAAGTTTCTTCATCCCTACTGCCTATGGATATCTTCACATTATAATGGTTCAATAGGCAAAGTTTTCTATCAATAAATAAAAGTAATCATTGGTATATATCTAATCCTAGTGCCTTTCTCTATAGCCAGGTAAATGAAAGGCAGCTTTAAAATAGTTACATGGAAGAAAACTCTTTCCTTCCCTTCTTTCATATGCACAGATAGGCTTGGAGGAGTGTTGATGACTTTTACTTTCCTTTGGGAAATATGGTGAGCTTTTCCAACTGGCTTGGCCACAGTTTATTGGAGCACAGCCCTGCCATGCACTCCTAGTTCTCTACTTTCCCAACTCTTATGTACCTTCCAATTTAATGAGATTATTTTCCCTTGATGTTTTGCAGGTTTTTCCTGTCCCTTCTTGTTTTTCAGTGGAGTAATCATGCCTACTAATATCTCATCCAACAGGCCAAGACTTCAGTATAGCTGAAATACTGTGTGCTGTGGACTTTCATTTGCCTCTTGTTTGTACCTGCCTTTAAACTATTAATAGGAAAAATTCAGGAAAAAAAACCCACCATCACTTAGCACATATAATACTCTACTAAATATTTTTCCTGCCAAAACTAAAGATGATGTCTCAGTGTCAGTGCACAGAACAATAGTGAGACCAATTCTTTTCAAATGATCTAGAAATTTCCTCCTGCGATCTATGGAGAGCTGCCTGGTGGTCCCCACAGAATTCTGTTGCTGGCTCGTCATTTTTTCCAGCTGCTAGCTTCTAGTAAAAGCAGGGGGGAAATGGCATTCCACAGAAGTAATGAATACAGCTGCCCCAGGAACATTATGTGAATGTATACCAGAGAAAAGATGATCTCCACATCCCTGGAAGCAGGGGAGACAAAATTTGCAAGACAGACTCTCTGTTGACCTGTGATCTACTGTATGGAAAAGTTGGACATTTGAGTGGGCTTTCCTATCCTAGTTTGATTAACCTCTTTCTAGTCATTCTTTACCATCATCCTCCTCCCTAGAGATAAATACACTATTCTAAAGTGCTTCTCCAAATCTAGATCTGTGGAATGTACATGTAGGATAAGAACCTTAGGTCTTGAGGCTTATCCCATTATTGTGCCAGGCTTTTTTAATAGTCCTACTCTCAATCTAATTACTTCTCCAGTCCAGTTTGAAATTTTCTCAGTCAGTATAGAATTCAAACAGAACTGTAGGCTGTATGAATAAGCTTAGCCAAATGGGAATTTGTTCTGACTAAAGGTCAGGTTTGGCCTCTGAAGAACTGTGTAGTAATGAGTGTTTGGTTCCCTTGAAATTTGCAATTGTATGGAAATGTCACAAGAATACATGTATCTTTATTTAAAGAATTTGTGGTGGTTTGTTTTTTTTTTTTCCCTATGGGTTGTTTAAAGCCACGTGACTGAGGCATTTTACAGTGCAGCTGTTACAGATGACTCTGATATAATCTCCTTTACAATGAAAAGGAGGCATGGAAATAAGAAGTCTTCAGGTAAGAGAAAAACCTATTGAAACTGTACCTAGGACTTGCCATTTACTTTTTCCAGAAGACTTTGGTCAATCCTTCCTTAGCATCCGAGTGAGTGTGCTGCAGGCTGGAGTGCTGAGGTTCAGCTTGCCTCCACACACAGGCCTCTGAGAGGCTGCCTGGGGCTCTGCCTCCTGATAGTCCCCCCACCTCTGAGCACAGGGAGAGCCCCTTTCATACTTTCATACTCTTTCCTGCTACTCAGTTGGTGTTCCATACCAAATTCAAGGCCCTATTTAATGAAATTCTCTCCATATCTGTCTTCACAAATAGTGACCTCGGTATGTCCTTAGGGTTACAAGAGATTTATTTTAGCTAAAATAAAAGAGAAACTCAAGTACCTACTACTAATAAGTAAATAGCTATGATTTCAAAAGAAAACACCATGTGACAAAGTATGCTTCAGATGGAGGATTGCAGAGCTGTACCAGTGGATGCTCACACTCAGCATGTCATTTACTGTTCCCTTTTGACAATTGCCACCTCTGGGGTAAGCCAGGGCTGCTAAGCTGGCACAGAGGTGGCTTTCTCACCACAGAGGATGCCAGTGAGGTTAAATGTACCACGAAGGGACAACCTCCTTCTGATGCATCACTGTAGCTCTGCTGTGGGCATCCTCAGCCTCCTCTCAGCACTCCTCTTCCCTCTCACCCAGCACCATTCTCTCTCGAGCACAAGCCCATCTTCTCACTGTTCCTGAGCAGCAGATGCTCATGATGCCAGTCCAAATGTTTGCTAACAGTGTGAGCAGGTCCTGTGAAGCCGTCCTAGCTGCAGTGAAGGACACGGAGGGCACCTTACTGCAGTTACAGCTTCCCCTTGTAAATGGCTGAGTAAAGAGGAACCATTTGGAAAGGAAATGAAAGCAGCAGGCGGATTGCCAGGGAAAGATGTGGGGTCAGAGAGGGAGAGGTGGTGGTGTGTTATGTCCTAGACAGAATGCAATTTAAACTGCTGGGAGGGAGCATGCTTCTGGCACATCGCTCTCTTCCTCTAAAGCATGGTTGTGTGGGTGCAGCAGGAGTCAGTGAACAGCTCTGCTTTTTGTGTGACTATTTGTTATTTCAGCCCACCACAGTCTCAGGGTAAAATTACCTAAACACTCAATATTCATATTTTGAAATATTCTTTTAATTCCAGAACCATAAAGACTAGAGATCTTAGGGGTTTGAAAATGAAAAAGAGACATACAATAACTTTCAGACACACATAATAGCTTTTTACAAGAGATTATAGTAAATTTTCTGACTACAGTTAATGTGTAATGAATGTAAAAAAATCTCACACCAACATGCAAGAAAGGGAGAAGAAAGACAAAATAAAACCTATTTGCTTTTAAAGGCCTGTTGATATAAGATCAAAAATTAGGTTTTGAAAAATTGTACATTTTACGAGGCAAAACCTAATGAAGCTG